GTGGTACTGCAACTGGGGACGCCAAATCACACAAATACCAATTTGTACATAATGTTGCTTTGATGTATTGATCAAGAATAAAAACAGCCCAATGTAAACAATTACAAATGCAGCTTACACATTAATACATCAGTAATAACAATGTAATGATATATAATAGTATTTTTACCTTGTAATGGAGATATTTTACCAGTGTGGTGTTAGTAGTTTTACTTAAATGTACTACAGGGAGTCTCAATGTAATATTGATGCCTCTATGTGACCTAAATAAACAAGACTGAGAGAAGATCGGATTCCCCTTGACAATCAATCCTTCAATCAAACGAGGCGATGGAACACTTTTGTCCACTGAGGCCGCCAGAGTCAACACAAAATGAAAGTTCCTTGTAGATGCTTTAAGTGAAGGATTTGAATACAGTAATTGTCTGCGAGAGCGATTCTGAGCTTCAGAGATGGATGAAATTGCTATGTGTTCTACATCGTGTCAGCCTGGATTTCCCCGAGTCAAAGAACCTCAATAAACCCTACTCCAGTTCTCCTTGATTACTGCTGCTGCTACATCTCGTAGAGCCAAAATTGTCTCATCAGCTGGCTGAACCCTCCCTGCCCCCCTCCTCCTCCTCCTTCCGTGTTCCCTTGACATATTAATGTCCTTCCCCTCTCCAGATTGAGGGCAGTACACGTGAGCGGTGGGGATCTTCTGGAACCAAAGCCATGACGGGTGACTGCTGGCCAGGGGCCTCATCTGGCCGCTGTGACGTTTAAATCCAGTGAACACGTTATGGAAGTGGAGCAGCGATGAGATGGAGAACTGAACTGATTGTTTGATCCCTAGTCTGTGAATCACAAACAAAACAACCACTAACAGCTTTTTATATTTAAAAAAGCTATAAAGCTCTAACAAGCATATATTTGTTTTATGGTGTTACGTTATTTATGATCAAAGTAATTCCAGAAATTCTGTTCTAGTGGCTCAGAGCACCTCACCAAACACACATGTTCACAAATTTAAATCCTAAGAAGAGACAAAACCACCTGTTCCTACAACCTATCTTTCATTTAAACTCACACTGACATCCCATCAGATCTTTCATATCTATACGCTCTCCTTGGGCTTTTATTCTAACAGTCACACAAGTTAATTCCATTTGTTGCAAAACGTGCATGTAAAATATCCAGACAACTTAATTTCCTTGACACCTGTTGAAAAATACTGCAACCAAATGATTCAAGGTGTCACCAGCCGTCACGCAGAGCGAAAGAGGAAAACAAAGCGTGAGTCATAAAATGTGGCAAATCAAAGCAGCGATATGGCACGTTTTGAACATTTGTGACCGCCGACTCTGTGAAACATTATGTCTTTACAGGCAATTACTGTGACGCATTTCATCCCGCTGCCTCCACACTGCCACGTGTGTTGTACACGGTTGTGTCTGTATGCCTGGCTGTGCAGGTAAGACAATGCACTTTATTGATGCACATGAGGAGTTTCTTCACATCCAACATTCGGCAGCTACTTTTTCTGTTTGTATATTAAACAATATGAAGAGAAACCCACACTTGGTCAATATTATAGTTTAAATTTTGTGTGTGATCAGGGTGCAAAATTAACACCCACCAAATGGTCAAAGGCACATTTTGAGTTTGGCTGTGAAATAAACTGGGATCACAGTGTAGGGCCGGGTTTACGTCACTGCGTTTTTATCCAGCTGAGACTAATGTGACCCCCGCTGTTCACCGTCCCTATTGTCAGTGAATCAAATCGAAGCAGCTTACTACCATTTGGCACTTACTGCACAATGCCTGCCTATGTTTTTGCCCGAAGAAACATCTGCGTTACATGTTATTAGAGACATGGTGACACATTCCCGGTGTTTAGCCACCAAAAAGAAGACAAAAAGAAAAGTCTCAGCGTTTCTGCAAGAGGATCCCTGAAATCCTGGCTAAGATATGAATCTCAAGAACATGAGGCAGTTTTATGGCTGGTAAAACATGTTTTTGGCTGGTAAATCTTTTCATTTTGGTGGTGCATTTAAGTTGTGAAGTGCAAATTCACTACCAAAACTACCATGGTCTTTTGTCCTGTAAATGTGGTATTAAATTCTGTATATCTGATATTTGCAATCTGATTTTATAAGATCATCTGGTTATAAGACACTAAATTAATAGCTGTTATACATTATATGTTACTTAGGATGTGATGAACATTAACCACAATTTACAATAACGTCTGATCAGTAAACTGGAATTCACCCACTGCTGCCAATGTCATAAACTGGCCTCTCTTAATAGGATCATATGGCTTATACTTATGAACTCTGCAACATCCTGTCACTTTTTCAGCCACAGTCTGGGCCTGGGCCAAAGCAGAGAACAGTTGACAAAGTGTGTCAATGTGTAAACGACTCACGTGACGTCTCCTGCATAGTGGCGAATGCGGAAGTCTTTCTGAAAGTCCATGGTTTTGTCCGTGGGGCTGAGCTGGAAACGAAGGGAAGACTGTGAGTGCAACAGTAAAAAATATATAACAACAATTTACAAGTGTACAGATGGAAGCAGAGGAGGAAAGGTACACAGGTTCTTTACTCAAGTAGAAGTACAGATACTAAAAAAAGACTAGTAGAAGTACTGATTGACTAAACAAGCCTGTTTTAAAAATGTAAAGACTAGATAGAAGTCCAGATAAAAAATGGTAAAATTAAAAAGATGTCAGAAAAGTAAAAGTACAGATACCTGAATAAAACTACTTAAGTACAATAATGAAGTATTTATACTTTGCTACTTTGCACTTCTAGATGTCAGATTTAAGAGGGAGGAAATGACGGCTGCATTTATGGATCCCCTGTTGGAAAAAGCATCTTATGAAGGCAAAACATTGGAGAAACTCTGCCCTCTAGTGACTGCAATGCAAAGCTGCACCTGTGACTCTGTTCTTTCTTGTTAATTTTGAGTAAAAAATCAAACCAAAACCCACCTTTTTGAGAATAAATGATCAAATATTACATATTTTTTATCATATAATCTCATTATTTGCTGTATGTTAGTGATCAATACCAACATGTAAAATCCTCACAGATTTTTAAACAGCTGTTTTTTCAGGATCAACACATCCTGTAACAACTTTCAAAGAGACACACAACACAAACCATGAAAAACGCCTTTTCTGTTTCCAGTTGTGTCTTAATTCATGACAGCTCATTCAACATTATGCATGAACCATTTCTCAGGAAATTGCTTCACCAGCTAGAGCTCATATGCAATGAGCTTCATTGGTTTTCTGCCCGCGTGTTTTCTTGACTCAACCTGCCCACAAGTAGAAGAGTTAAACATCTCATCCTTGAGATTTTAGGCAGTTACTGAATTGCTTAAATTCATTCACTCTGGCATTTATATCCTACAAGAGTAACTCCAGTTTGGGCTAAAAATAAGTGTAATTAATAAGATTAGTTATGTTTTTCAGAGGGAAGTCTGAAGAGGATATGTCAACAACAAATACCCACTTCCTACAAACTAAATGAAGTTACAACCACATTTTCAGAGATCCCTTTTAAAACATAAAAAAACACAATTTTCACTTTCATGTTAAGCAGCAGATTTATAATGTGTGTGTTTTAAACAAAGGTCTCATGACAGCTGGTAAAGTTTTTGTTCATATAATTTACAGAAGTCAGACAGAGAGTCATATGAGAAGGAGAAGCCTCACTGATGTTGTTGTGATCTGTTCTCACCTTGCGGGAGGTGTAGTGGGGGTGCTGGGCCAGTTTGGTGTCCATGCTGTCCAGGCAGACCGTGTCGGTGACTTTACCCACAGTGAGGCAAGCTTCGTCCAAAATGGAGATAATGCCTTTGTGAGGCTGCTCCACGAGGTCCACAATGATCTGGTTGTTGAAGTAATCGATCTGTGTATAAACATTAGTATGATTGTTAAGTTCGAGGGGTAATGTTGTGTTCATGAATCATGTTACTGCAGGTAAGAGTGTTCATGTACTGCGTGCATGCTTGTGCTCTTTTTGGTAGGATTATAATCTGGCTCATTTTTCTTCCAACAATTTTCTTAAGAAAAATACATTCATTGTTACACCTCCCTTGTGTTTTGTGTCTCCTCTTTACTCTCTCAGGTGCTCCTCATTGGGGATGATTGCCTGGTGGCTCTGCCCCAGAGAGGCAGGAGCTCTCTCTGACAGACAAAGCAGGCTCATCTCATCAGTGTTAGCTTCTTTTGCTCATTATTATTGTGTTTTATTCTTTGAGGATGGAGATGGTCTAGTTCACGGATCGACAGATAGCCGATATCAAAACAAAGAAAAGTCATGTATAATTCCATTATTCTATGCACATTATAATCTAATATACATTGTTATCTCAGCCAGTAACATGTTGTTTTAGATTTAACATTAATTAATGAAAAAAAAAAAATACATGTTTTATGCTGTAGATGTCAGAACGTAACACATTTAAGTGAGAGCGGGTACAGTATGTCAGAATCTACTGCATTATTATAACAGCATATATTTAATGCTTGCCAGAGACGGCGTTAGATTAGATTCGCTGTCATTTAGGATGTGAGAGTGTTAACATTTAGAAAAGAGAATGGAGACTGAGGAACTTCAGATGTTAAACATTTACAGCAGGATGCATTAGTTACAGCACAGGGCTGGAAACCTTTTCACCACCTTCCCAAAACTCATGAAAGGGAGCACGGACATCATTTCACAGCAGCCACTCTGACAAGGCTACCTGCATATGCCTGCTTATCGGCGTCGTGAGCATAGGCATTGGACACTGCTGATTATCTCAAAACGCCTGATCGACTATCTCTAGTTTACAGTTCTTTGTTTTGTAGCTTCGTTGCAATGTTTTATATAGTTTAGGTGGGGACCCAGACTTCCTCCATCCTTTTGTTCGTTTTGGCCAGACCTCCAGACTCCCATACTTTCTGTAAATTACTGGCATTATTTGTAAATAAAACAATTAAAAAGGAATTATCAGGTTATGGTGTCTGCTTTATATGTTGCAGGTCACAGCTGGTTGAGCCAACATGTTCATTTTGTTGCTGTTGTTATATCATATTTTGTCTTTCTGGAAGTGAAACACTTGAATAATGTGACCACCACACACTTATTTATCATTGTCTGATGTTCATCTTATATGAACATCAGACCATTTCCTGCATAGCTGCTGAACGTCAGTTGCAAATGCAGAACAACTTAGTACCAATTGATCTGGAAATGTGTGTTTCTCTGTATGACATGACACCTCTGCCGTGCTCTGTGTGTGTCATTGTTTGTGTGGCTTTCTCACGTGTTGCCAGGTGATGCCTTCTCTCTGGTATTCGCCTTGTTCCTGTCTGAGGATCAGCTCGATGAAGAGCTGCTGCAGCTTCTCGTTGCAGTAGTTGATGCAAAACTGCTCAAAACTACCCGACAACAGAGGAACAACAAACGCTTGAGCAACATCATAAACAATGACTCACTCCTTCCATTTAAAATAAAGAAATACAGAGAGACTTCACAACATCCCAGAGACACCAACCTGTTGTTGTCAAAGATCTCAAAGCCGTAGATATCCAACACGCCGATGACTGTGTTTTTCCCATGAAGCACTGGGTTGTAGTCTTTAACTTCAATGACACTGTTGATGCGGCTTACAATCCATCCGAAAAGTCTCTCATATAGAGCCTACAGTAGGAAATAAGAGAGGGTGTGTTTAATGTTGAAAGCTGTAATACGATTCATCAGTATAAAGCAGAAATCTCATCCTAAAAAGCTGTTTTATCATACAAAAAAAAATGGCTATACATGAAGCAAATAAACACCTTGGCGAAAGCGTCCCGTCCAAAGCAGGCCTCCTGCTCTGTGTGTCCCTTCTCAATGACCTCGCCGCCCCCGGTGGCCACAGTGCGGTACAGGAGGGTCTTACTGACGCTGTCTGGATCTGTGTCCGTGAGCTCTGAGATCTGGTTGACGGCTTCGAGTCCCTGAATCTGAACGCTCTCGCCGTCACTCTCAAACTGCATATTACCCTGAAAAATTAAACCATTACAGTTCATTATAGAACCACCAAAAGACAGACTCTGGTGGTGAATTCTTTTATTTTAATCCTAGAAAATATATTTGAACTTGTCCTAGTTTTAACAATCCGTGCAATAACTTACCAACAGAAGAATGGAGGCCAGGATCTGATAAATCGAGTTAATCTCCTCTTTTGTGAAGCCAATCACTTCCAGGGCACTCATCACCGCTTTGTGGCTCGATCGATCATTGTTGGAGGTCTTAAAGAAAACAAGGTCTTTGTATTAGACAAAGTTTTGCCAATTGATCAGTCAAAAAGAAACATTAAACAGCTGAACATCATCATTATGTTTCTGAAATGCAGAGTAACAGCAGAAACCAGGAAGTTACATTATTTTGTCTTTGTGCTAAAGCTGACAAACTCACAGCAGTTGCAGCTCCTTCTTTGGTATAAGTATAAACAGCAGGATCATTCACTAGATGAAATGACACCAGCATGTCCTGTGAGCTTCCCCGCAGTAACTGTCAAACACACATCAAAGACGAGGCGAGTTCAGATCCAATGTGATTATATCTTATTATAATATATATGTAGAAACAACTGGAGTGGAGTTTACCTGGTAAAATGAGTGGAAGTTCCTCTCCCCCTCCTGCTGGTGGACCACCCTGGACTTGAACAGGAAAACAGATTATAGTAGTGAACCAAACATTCATCCTCAGACACTCTTTCACTGCCATTATAGTTATTCTGTGTTGACTTATGTGTTTCTAGGAGTTCCTTTTTAAAGTTGAGTGTTGTTTGTTGCAACTGCTGACAAACCTGCATTGTCTATTCTTACTTCATAAGCTTGCTTTCAACTACTTAATGAACGTTAGCTTGTCTCAAACCTCACTGGGTTTTTAAGGTAAAGCAAATAATTTAACTAACAAAATTTATATTAAGCTAAATAGCAGCATTACTCAGAGAGGTCAGCAATTAAGGTGTGTGAGTTTCTGAGGTTAGGGTTCTGCAACACACAGTTACAAAGTGCTTCACAAACAATATAATACATATATACATTTACATAATAATACACATACATAAGTACATATAAATACTAACATATAAATACTAACATATGGATAAATAAAACAAGCAGTTTTAGTTACAAAAAGAGCCACAACAAAAATAAGTAAATAAACAAAGGGAAGGAGACCTAAAAGACTTTGCTATAGAGGTTTTAAGGAGCCACAGCAGAATATGTTCACATCTAAGTGGACTAACCTAGATGGTTTTGGTGAGTTTAATTATGTTTCAGGCATAGCGTTAAGTTTTAGTTCAGTCACAGAGAGAAACTTGAATTAAGAGGGTGTATCGTTGTATTTTTCTGTTTAATAAAGAAAAAGGGGGTAGTGATATATTCTTTATTTTGTTTATTACAGCTAAAAGACACTGACACCTGTGGGATTATATATAGACAATCACAGGGCTGTGGGGACAGTGGCCAGTTGGAAAACTTGAACATACTGACCGACACTATTCTGTGGGAACAAAAGACAAACAGAGCTCGGAAAAAGGTGTAAGCAAGTTTTCTAGTCCAAAAGTAACTGAAGTGTAACGTGTCGTGTGGCCACCCTGGAGTCAACCGTCACTTTCATGTGTCAAAGACAGATTTTTCCCTGGACGGTTGCTAAACTCTGGTGAGAAACCATGTAAAAAGAAGGTCTTTGCTCTTTGATTTTGATGGATTGACACCAAAACTATGTAGAGTGCTGGTGTAAGAGGCGTCACATCTCAACTAGAGCTGCACTCAAAATGTCTAAAGGCAACACCCTGTGGTCAAAGATGGACCTCCAAGTTTTAAGAAGAAATAAGAAAAATCAACAACCAGACAAGAAAATCACCACCAGCTGTTTTTCCAGTGTTTGTCTTGATGAAAAAAACCCCAAACTACAATAATTAAACCCTCAAACCAAACTGATAACCAATTGTGTGACTACAGCAGCACCACTTTCACTGCTGATGAGAAAACAGGACATCTGAGGAACAGCGTTGGTTAATTCTGCCCTCTGAAAATGAATCAAGGCACCATCATTCACACCAGCTCTGAGTGCCAGACGGGTTGTTTAACAGAGCGGATAAATACAGCAGCATCAAGTACCCCCCAGGTGACCCATTCATTAACAGCACCAGCTTCACAGACACATCTATTCACGGATGTTCCCTCACACCTCTTGTCATCGCCTCATGAAACATTCATGTTCATGGAGAAAAAAAGATGTAATTTAAAAACTAAATGAGCAGAACTTTTCTTGTAGAGGTTGGGCTCAGCGTGTCTCAGAGGAGCATATGACTCCTTTGTTTTTCTGCGGTAGGTCTCCTGTCTGCAGTCGAAGGCCCTCCATCATCCTGCCCGCTCCCCTCCTCACCTTCTCCAGCAGGTAGTTGTTGATGTGTCCTCCGGTGGGATCGCCGTTGAAGTTGAAGTTGATGTCCATGTACTTGCCGAAGCGGCTTGAGTTGTCGTTGCGATTTGTCTTGGCATTCCCAAAGGCCTCCAGCACGCAGTTGGATTTGAGCAGCACATTCTTCACGCTGGATTTATTTCCCATCACGGTGACCATCGATAGGAGAAACATGTGAGAGAACGGGGCCATCAGGGAGGTGGGAAATTAGAGTTAGAGGAAAGAGAAGAAGAGATGATTTATGGCCACATCATATTCTCATGATCCAATTATTTATTTCTGTTGGATTTGAGAGTAAAAAACCATCTGGATTTACTGCTGTAAAGCTCCACTCACCTCTCAACCTCCTCCCTCTGGCTTGGGTTTGTGATGGCTGCAATGTACTGCATGATGTATTTACTAGCTTCTGTTTTACCTGCACCACTTTCACCTGAAACACAAAACACACACGATAATGAACACGTCAGTATAGATTAATATTTTAGTATTTGGTCTCTTTGCTCTTTTTATTTCTTGTATAAGATAGATAGAGATAGATAGATAGATACTTTCCCGAGGGAAACTGTTGAGTGCTGTGAGTACCTGAATTCAATTAACATACGATAGATTCAATGCACAATGAATGAGGATGCAGACATGCATATATTGTACTTAAAATGATAATGAAAATAAGCATTAGTTGCAGCCCTAGACTGTCTAGTCTGTCAATATAGAGCGGAGCCGAACAAGCTGAGATGTGGTAAACATTCAGAGCACAGAGGATGAACTCTTTTGATTTGGTTAATAACATCACATCTCACATCTGGCGCCACACACAGGACAAACCTCACGATTAAGTGCAGAAAAGTTTTCTCACAATTATTTTCAGCTTTAATTCAAACCAATAACTTAATGCAACGTGGAGTCATTCAACAAACTGTAGAGGATCTAGAATGTGGTGATTGTAATCCAATTCTAATTTGTGGAAAGTCACCTGTAGTTAAAGCTGTCAGCCTCCTCAGGCCGGACACAGCAGAGAGAGAGAGTTCACACTTTGCAGGACTCGTGATGTTTAGTGTGAAAAGACACAAACCTGATATGACAATGCAGGTGTCTTTGGCCCGCCTCTTCATGGCCTTATAGGCAGCATCGGACACTGCGTACAGGTGAGGGGGGTTCTCATACAGCTCCCGGCCGCGGTACGCATCAATGGTTTCTTTGCCATAGATGTCCATCTGTCGATACGGGTTAACAGAGACAACCACTTCTCCGATGTAGGTGTAGATACGGCCCTTCTCAAACCTGCCCAAACACATGTGCAGGTGTCATTCATATGTGTAGACATAGGGATATATATCTGCGTATGTGCATGTAGGTAGAATTATTCATATAAGAATTGCAAATAGCTGTTTAGCCTAGGAACATCTGATTCTGAAATATCTGATTGGTCCCTTAAGTGCACCTGTTCACTTCATAGCACTTGCTAGCACTAGCTGCCAAAGCTAAGCATTGTTGGAAGGCCAACACATATTGTGTATAGAATCTTAGGGACTGGACTTATACTTGTTTTCCCCAGTAAATAACATTGGTGTCTGGCACTTTAATTTAGTTTTTGCCTTTTCAAATAAATATTTTGCTGTTAGGTAGTTTTAGAGAAATCTAGAGGAAAGAAAAGAAAGATCCAGTCTTGGTTTAGCAGCGTTTTCCCATGACATTTTCACACCACCCATGAAAAAACCCTAGAGTTAAAAGTTCCATAAGCGATCATGCGCCTTTATGTCATACGTAGGTGCCAGGAAGTGACACAAGTGTGTGTGTGTACAAGCAGGAAATGAAACTTGTGGTTCAAAGGGCGTCACAGTTTTGTGAAACCTTGCGGGTTTTTCTTGAGCTGGGAGGGGTAAAATTGGTGTCTCATGAGGGTTAATGAAGCTAAATAATTTTGATAGAAAGTGTGATATATGGTCAACATGTTTAACATAATGATTTCAAAATGCCAATCTCATTTATGAGTTTATAGGACATACAAGCATTATACTAGTCTATTGTTTTCTGGATCGTTCGTGTGGTTCTTGTCAGCACATAAAGTCCGGAAATGTAATGTGACCACAGGAGTATTAAACAGGTCAGGGTCATCACTGATAATAGGTCAAGCCAGATAATATATGATAAAAGCCAGGCATAAAAATATGAGTAATTAATGATCAAAGGTGGAACCTAATGTATTAACTTTACAGTACAACTGTATTACTGTTACTTTAAGTTACTTTGGAGACAAAGATTGTACACATACAATATGAATCAAAAGACCCATGCACACTGTCTTCTTCACTTTCAGTGGGTTTCGATGCACAGACCTGATTTATTTATAATCTAATGATGGTCTGTGTACATGTAAAGTGTGTGAGAGTCTTTTGTTCTATATTGACGACTCGTGGTCGTCAAGGTGTGCAAAGGTTTTGTTATTGTTACACATGAAATAGACAAATGAAAGAGTTGTACGCGTTGCTCAAACTACTGTACAGAATCTAAAGTAGTTGGAGTCACTTGGACCTGCTGTTTAGATGTTAAGGGACCATTATGTAGGATTTAGTGGCATCTAGTGGTGTAGTTGCTGGTTGCAACACCCTCGCCTCAACCTCTTATTTCAAGCATGAAGGAGAAACTAAGGTGCAAAAAAACTGTAGTTTCTCAAGAGCCAGTGTTCCATTTGTCTCTTCTGGGCTACTGTAGAAACAAGGCGGACTCCGCCATGACAGAAGGGAACTCACTCCTTCTGTAGATAAAAACAGCTCATTCTAAGGTAACGAAAGCACAGCGATTTTTATTTAAATTTTCCTGTGAGTATTATATTGAATTTCTGCCCACAGATCCTCCTAAATGTTACACACTGGACCTTTAACTTAGAATTAACACTCTGAAAGAGGCCATTTTTCATAATGAGTACGTAAAAATCACTTTTATAGCACTAATATGAACCTATTACAATTCAGTTTTTACTAAAATAAAAGGAATATTTAATACTTCGTCCACCAATGGAAATATCACAACCACTGACAGGATATATAATGGACAGAGCTTCCGGTTCTGTGAAGTGAAGCCAACGCGGGGTGTCCTAAAACCTGTATTCTATGTAAAGACCAGCAGGGGGAGCTTCATGCCGATACCATACAGTCTTATGGAGAAATGACCAAACTTCTCGCTTTATTTATTAGCTCAGTAAATGGTTTCGTAAGAGTTTATGGTAATTGTTTCCTGCTACGAACCTGTCGGAACTGCGCAGCCAATGAGAGCAGCTCAACTTGAAGTGAGTCACCTCCGCTGGCGATGACCATGAAGCCTCTACTCCACAAACCAATGGGTGACGTCACGATTGGTTCACACTTGGTCATAATTGTAACTCTAAACTCTTCCCTCCTTTCCCACTGGCAGTTAGACATTTAGTTCTGAGTCACTGAACGGGTTGTTTTTATACATTTGTTTGGGTTAAATCATCCTAGACAGCAGGAATATTGGTCTAGCAGTGGGGTCAGAGTTGGGTTTGGTGTTAAAAAAAAATTAGGGAAGTCACCCCAGTCTCCTTCCTGGTAATATATTGACCAATAAGGCAATAGGAGGCAACAGTAACATGTGAGGCTATGTGGGATAAGGAGCACAAATCCTGTATTGTCTGCTGTGTCTGTTACATTAAATGCACCAGCTCGACCACTGATGTCTTATTAATGAAAACATATTCCTGATCTCTGGTAGTTTAAAAGTTTAAATCTTCTTTTAATAAAGAAGAGGACCAAGACCTCTGTGTCCACCAACCTTCATTTATATGCTGACAGAGAACCCAACATACTCATCTCTGTACCATTAGCTATTCCCAGTCTATAAATGTGAACAGATAAAGGAAAACAGTGCAAATGCAAACACCTGAACTCACACGTAGATATGGAAAAAAACTGCAGCAAATCATTAAAGTTGGCACATATCAGCACAAACTTTACAAACAGCTTATGCTTCTCCAGCAGACAAGTCCGATCAAGCTGTGTGATGAAACTCTACATACATTATTTGCCAACCAATAATGACAGACAGACGCTAAGCCAGGGTAACTATGTGAAAAATGCAAAGTGTGAACTCTAAATCCAGAGCTTATTTTGACATTGTTTGACATTTTGCTGCCTCTGCTGATCCTTAGATGACTGACTGTGCTGAACTGTGATTTTCTCACAGTTTGAATCGAGGACACGATGCCTCCCGCAAAAAGATACGGAGGAAGTGATAAAGTGATCGAGAAACAAAAGTCTGGACTCTGGAAGCATTACGAGTCTAAAGAGCAGAAAAGGTCACAAAACAAGACAAAACAAGTCACGTTTACATATTTAAGTTAGACAGGTTTGGTGAGACTATGTTGTATTTGTGCCATGTGCTTCTATTGGCTCACATGACAGCTAGTGTTCAGTGTGGTGGCGATCGTATAAACCACAGGTATATAATGTGAACCCGGAGGGTGAGCGGGAAAGACAAAGCATGAGCGACTTCTCTACGTCTACCGTTATGTTTCATCTTTTCATCTCTTCTTACTTGAGAGAAGTCATCAGGATATTGTCAGTTTGGTGATTTAATACAGTTAAGTTTACCTTAATCTTAATCTCGTTTTAACATATTCACAGGATAAGACTTGAAGAAACATGCCGTTTCCTTCATATATCTTTTATGTATGAAACGTTACTCTCTGCATCTCTGACACACAGCTGCTTCCACCCTCTTCCCCTCCCTTCCTCCTCTCTGACAGTATCTCAGGCCTTACCTCAGCTTCAGATTCTCCATAAACTGCTCCATCGTCACCTCATCCAGGAGCACAAAGTCTGACTTCCCAAACTCCAGGCCCTCCAGCTCCGCCATTCCCCCTGTCTGTATTTCACCAAACACAAACAAACAAAAATAAAAAATAAAATACGAACAAGACACAGAGGAACAGAAAGCAGCTCAAGGAAGAAGAAGAAAGAGAAGTATGGTCGACTTCTGGGCCCCGGTCTGCTGTGGGCGTGGTGTACTGGTGGATTCTAGGGTGTGCTTAGTCAAGTCACACACAGAGAGCTGTGGTCTACAAGCTACAGCACGTCATCCTGTCAGTCAGCCCATGCCCTCATGCAGATCTATATAAATAGCAGGAGGCTATCTTTAAGAGCTCATACCACTTCTGCATCCTCCTCTGTCTCTCTCTTCCTGCCACAAGGCCTCTAAATTTCAAAACTGTCACTAAACAGTGTGACTCACACTGCAAGGTATTGCTTTTCAGCCGTGTCTTCAAGTGTTTTTTTTTTTTGTGTGTGTGTGTGTTTTTTTCTTCCCAGGAACAAGAACCCACATCTGACTTGCTGCCAGGCAAGAGCAGTTAACCTTGCAAATTTGGGGGTAGAAAATGGTCTTTATCTCCTGGGAAGGATCATGGCATTTCCTTTCTAAACTTGGCACTGGCAGCACAACGTGTCCCTTAGGGTTTGCTCTAATCCAAAGGTTCCCATCTCGCAGCAGGGCCAAGCTGCAACTTGAGAAACTCTTGGTTTTTTGGATGCTGGAGCCAAAAAAGGTTTAGCAGTGTTGTTTGTCATGTGAGACAAATGTAAGTGTGTAGGTGTGTGTGCGATTAAGTTCGAGTAAGTGTGTGTGGGAAAGCTGACTAAGGCAGAGACAGATGATTTCTAAATCCCCTTTGACACCACTTTTCTGTAAATTGGGAACCTTTTCAAGAACCTTTCGAGGTCTTTTTCCAACTGAGGTTCAAACTTAAAAGAGGTTAGTTGAAGAAGGGAAACAAAGAAAGAGAAATCTAACTAATAAATAACAAAGACCAAAGCTTCCTGTGTCGCTGTTAGTGCCACTGCAAACCAAAACCTAGAGGTGGGAAGTAACAATGTACAAGTACTTTGTTATTTAAAGGAACAGTGTGTAGGATTTAGTAGCATTTAGTGGCAGATTGCAACTAACTGATCACTGCTCGCGTCTGTATTTGACAACCTGGGAAACAACATCAAGTCATGACAGACTTAAAAAGATGAAAACAACAAAAGAGACATAGATACACACACACATCAACTACAACACACTTCCTAATCTCTTTTTTGTTTTATGATATTTTCTTGATTAGCTGCTCGGATATAACAGGGTTTTTTTTTAGAATTTCTCAATGCTTTGGCAATATTGTCTTTGTTACACTCATCATCACCACTGAACAATTTAAATTCAGTTCAGAGCCTGAACTTGTTCATGTTAAGTGAAGAATGTGAGTACATTTGACACCTCTGCTAAAACACTTAACATCTTCTGCCACATCCTCCTAATTGTAACTGATCTTGTGAATGAACTACAGAGTCAGTGACTACTTTGAACTCTCTGTACTCTGAACTATCTGTAGATCTGCACACTGCTTCAGCAGTGAGTGAAGGTCAAGATGCACTGAAGTGATGATCTTGACGTTTTGTGCCTCATCGACAGCTGCAGGCAGATCTCCAACATGTTTGAGCAGTCTGTGTTTATCTTTCTGAGCACAGGCAGAGTCACACAGCTCAGTTCATGACTCAGATGGGTTGTTTTTTTTCCATGATGAGCAAAATCCATGACTGCGTTGATGTATTATTGTTTCATGAATAGAGTTTGTGATAAGGAAAAAAACAGCTACTTTGTATGAAAACCTGTGTATGCACAAGGAGACAATTACAGAATATAACACTGGGTATTTCTTGTTTATGTCAGTCTTTTCACTTAAAGGATCAGTTCACCCAAATTACAAACAAAACAACCATAATTTTCCTCTTACTTCTGGTGATATTTAACCATGCAGATAGTTTTGGTTTTATTTGTCCAGGTTTAGAAATCATACCCTTCTTAAAACCCATTTTTATAGACTTGCTTTTATTCACTTTATTTTATTGCTTTTATTTATGTTAATGGTTAGCGCTTTCATTGTCCTTATCTTATCGATGTCTACCATGTTTGTTTTTTCTTCTTCTTGTTCTTTATTTCAGTTCTGCCTTTGTTTGGTTCTCCATCGTTGTATGTCCTGTTTTTGCTTTGTCTGTTTAAGCACTCTGTAAACTATAACTATAACTTCTTTATAATAACAATAACTGTTATTGTTATTTTAATATGTTTGAAAAATGTTCACCTGTATTTTATCTATTTGTTAATTTATTTATCTTTTTAGGTAAATTAAGGTTTCCATTGCTGGACAAAACATCCCAACTCAATGTCCACTTTCCAGCTTTGTCCAGGACGTTTAAAGAGCACAGAGAGTTGAAAGCTCTGGATAAGTTGCTTAATGGACCTTAAAGGGGAACTTGGCAACTTTTTCAGCTTTAATAAACGCCGTTAGCAAAGCATTTGGATTGGTTAAATGGCCTGTTCTGGTGAAAATGGTAATTGAAGCATGAGTTGGGATTGTTTTGTCAATCCACAATTTCTAGTCAAGATTGGGACTGCTTTAGTAATTTGGGTGAAGGTTAACGGGTCAATAAACTCTATAAATTGAGTTAAAATAATTCATTGTCAGACTCACCCAGTAGATTATCCTGATTATGTATAAACCTTTAATTTATTAAACCTATTTTTCCTTCTATTTTTAATTGTCCTTTTGGTTAAGCTGTGCTCTGTGTGCCTTGACTGACTGTCTGTCTCTGACAAGGCTGTTTGAATTATCTGGTTTCTTTATTTCTGACTTTTAAAACTCACAAGAGAAAGCCTCGCTAACTATAACCTTAGGGGCTGGTGTCATTAGTCTTTTCGTTTGTACTCTTCTCTGTTCCAAGGAAAAGCATCGTCATTCTTAGTCTTAACACCAATGTCTTATTACACAACAATTTCTTATTGTGTGTCACATGACTTTAACTGAACATCAAACTGTTAAGGCTATTGAATGCATGACCCTGTTATTTTAGATTTACAAATGCAGAACCACTAATAAGAGGGAAAAAAGCAATTTAAAGAGATGAGAGAAGATATTTAAAAAACCATGAAGACTAGATAGAAGGAACCCCGCCTCAATAAGCTATAAGCAGTTACAAAAGATATGCAATCTACAACCACAATCAAAAGGCAAACATACAAGTAAGGAATATTAATCAAGCACAAAAACATACATAGAGAGTATGTGTGTGTTAGCATACGTGTCAATGTGTGTGTGCACACATGTACAGAAGAGAGGGTCAACTATAGTCACATGTGATCAGTTCGGGTTGTGAATATAACTGTTTCATCCCCCCCTTTCCCTTTATGAAAAGTAAAATAAATATTTAATATTTACACATATTGTCAGACTTCCAAACAACCATCTGTCCTTTAGACGCCACGTTGCCCCTGGCAACAGATAAAAAACAAACAGGGGGAAACCACAGAACTAAACATGAGAGATTTCTCATCAGACTGATTTGTCTTTTGGTTATTACTGTAAGAAAAGACCTCTGAGTCATATGAGTGCAGCTCTGTTTGAACAGTCTCATAAGTTCATATTTACTACAAACATTGATTGGAAAAATCATGAGTAAAGGGACTTTACCATAAGACTGAAACATTTAACACCTACCTACTGTAGAGCTTTCATCAGTGTGTGGACAGCCTGTTCTTTTTTTAGTCTAAAATGAATCTAAAATGAATTTTTTACACTATATATGGTAACATTGTCCGGTCGAGCATCCAGTTACCGTTCCTGTAACTACTTTCCTGTTAGATCCTGTCCAGCCATAAGTACTTCCTCTCAATGTACCGTCAGACTGTTTCACTTCCTCTCACGTCTGTTTCTGTCTCCCTCTAGATGTTGCATTCAGGTGTTACACTAACAACATCAACACAGTTTGCACACTCACAGTAGCTCCAGATGTCCAATGTAATTATGGCAGAGCACAAACACATGGAGATGAAAGAGGCATAAATCTCATTATCACATTTAATTAACACTCCCACAAAATCACCCAAATGGCCATTTGTGTAATTGTCATATTTATTCTTCTGTTTTTCCCCTTTTGCATGAATTATATTTTAGCCGTTCAGTTGATTCTCTTATCCAGTGTACAGATGTAGAATCAGATCCAGATCACCGACATTTACAGTGCAAAGAAACTAGCAGTAAATTATAAATGTGTGAGAAATGTCAACGGCTGTAAACAGTATAAAGTTAATCTTGTGCACAGGTTATTAGTGTTACAGTGTGATAAAAAATTTATCATGAGACAGTATCAGACTCATAAAATCATTGCACCGCCAAACAACATTCATCAATCTCAGTGATTCAGTTTAAATTTTATACTTCAAACAGAATCTGTAGTCAAGACCCGTTCTGTTGAGTCCAAGAGTCCAAGAACAGGATTAGTCGAGACCGACGTCCAAAGAGCTTCGAGTCCGAGGGCAAATAAGTCCGGACTCAAGTAGTACTGACTTAAACTATTTACTAACAATATTTATTTAAAATGTTCTAAGCTGCTGACAGTAACTACAGATTTACTGTACAGACACGTGTAAGTGTGTGATATCAATCTCTAATCTAACTCTCAGGAAGAAAGCAAATAACTATAATTCGAAAAATTGTCAAACTTTTCCTTTAACGCTCACATATTGGAATCACTACAGGCCTCAAAGATCCAGTATCAGGCTCTACTATACAACACCGTCTAACTGCATATTCAAAACTGTTACTCAGTAATAAATAACAGGTATTTTGTTTTAGTGCAGCTTATTTTCTCCATATTTTAAACGGTAGGGACCCAAACCAACCTTTCTTGGCTGATTTAGTAGATTTAGTGATTTTGTTTTCCGTGTCTTCCACGTAGCCGTTGACCCTTTCCGCTCTCCTTTTTTGGCGGGACTCAGAGTGGCTTTTTCTCCTGAAAGATGAGAAAAATTTTGCAACTCTCCCCTTTGCCTCACGACCTTCCCGTTTATCATCCGGGTACTTTGATGGAGTGTAACCTGCAGCTTCAAGAGGAGGCGGATTGGCGACGGCACCGTTATCTCCTCCTGTGTTTTTTCGACTGGTTGGTGGTAGAGAGCTGCTCCTGCCTCTGGGGGTTTTGTCCATTGTCCTTCCTGTACGTCCTGACCGGTCAACCGGCCTTCCCAACAGCCTTTGCTTTAACTCGTAGCTCTCAACAGAAGGTCCTATGAGCTGGAGTTTGTCATTCTTCTCACATACGAGCACTGAATTATGAGTGTTTCCGCCTTTCTTGATCCTCTCTAGAATAGCTCGGCCGTCACGATCTATGTCCTTCAGAGGAACTTCCTGCGTGCGTAGTGATTTGTTGAGATCGTTCAGGAGACTCTGCAGTTCACTGACAGCGTTCCTCGCGTTCTTTCCGTCTAAAGTGAGGTTGAAGCTATCGCCAACCGGCTGCACTTCCATTCTGACTTTATGGCTCGTCAGAATACCCCCGATGTCTTTTCTCCTGAGCTGGTCTGCGTACGTAAACACATCCCCATCAATGATAAAGCACTCTCCTTCAGGTCTGACTGAGCTCCGCTGGTCCGGTCTCGGAGAAAAAGAAGCTCTGTGCTCTGGAGAGGTTTGGTGGTTGTTCGGAGAGCCGGACGCCCAAGGTGAGGAGGTCTTGGGTGAAGATTGAGAAGCATGCAGAGGCTTGTTTCGGGATCCTGACCGGCTTCTGTTACCATCTGAGCTGCTGTTGGGGTGGTGTTTGGGAATGGCTCCGGAAGAAACCGTTTGTGAGTTAATAAGCGGCTCCAGAACAGCTTTTGCAGCTTTAAGTCTCAGAAATGACCCCTTGACAAGCACTTGATCGCTGCCCAGATCTGTCAACGTAAAGCCATATGCTCTGAGGATTTTTCGCGCCACTGTCCCATTGTGGCACATACCCAAATGCACCTTTGCCTCCACTGGGAAATCCATCTGAGAATAAGATGTAAAGAAAAAAAACACTCACAAAGAGCTCATAGACAATCCTGAATAAGTGGATAAATAAGATTAATCTATAAATGTGTTGCAATGTTACCTTTAAGGTGTTCAGCTGCTTTCACTGTTTATATTATATAAATTATATTGTTGATGCAAAAGGAGAGAGGTCTTTTACAAGACTCGAGCAGCAACTGTGGGAAGAAATACACAACTTTACTTAGTGACTGACTGATTGATGTAACGTCACACAACAATAGTGTCAAATTCTCTGCCTCAAAGAACAAAAATGACCATAATAAAACAGTGTATCTGCCAGGAATTTTATGAATTTTATCTCATGATTTCATATGAAGCTTTTCAGTTGCAGTCTGGTGTGACCTTTGTTATTGTAGGGAACTGTAAAAAAGTAAAGTATAAATGGATTAAATTATATATATTTAGTGAGTATACCATGATGGACAACATGTGCTTTTAAGCCCTGTAGCAGCCATTTTTCATGAAAACTGTCACTGGTGTTACTGTCACTTTCCTATGTATTCTTATGGGTTCTTGTGGGTTCTTGTGGGTGACGACAGTAAAGATCAGTCTTATGTATGTCACTGGTGTTACTGTTTTTACTGTGTTTTGTCTTTCACATTGAAGAAAATCTGAAATAATTTTACATCCATTGAATTTAGCTACATGTAAGAGTTAGGATTACTTGTTTATAAGTAATGACCTAATTATAAGAGTAATAAATATAATTTAATCACACTGTTAACAAACCTGGTTGTTGCACAGCCATATTTCTTCTGTGACACTGACTACATGTGCTGAAGAGATTGAGAAATAATATTTAATAAAATCCTTTAATAAAATAGTAAGGTGACAAAAAGACGGCCAATTTTCAAATGCACAAAAAAGCCATTTATGTGTATTCATAAACTCAAAGAGTTATTTAATAATGTGGTTTAAGTTTAAATGTTAGAAAAATAAAAGTGTACATTTCTGTAAAACGACACAAATACTTCTTAGCTATCGATAGAGGTAGTATAATAAAGGTCTATTAGAGGTAGTGATCACTGCAATATATTTCATTCACTGAAGCAGAAACCAGGAACTTTAATTGTTCTGTTGACTCTGGCGCCCCCTGTGGACAAAAAGTGGTAGTGCTTCAACCACCTTATTGCTGTTATGTGCTTATGTAGGTCATAGAGAGACATCAGCATTAATTAGTTTCATAACCAGTTAAAAAATCCTTGTAGGGTTGAGAATAAGATTTATTATCAAGACAGAAAATAATGAATGTTCCCAAACTTTTTCCTTGAGGGACCTTTTCTTTCTTACTGGGACGACGTCTGACTGAGGGACATATTTTATAGATATTTCATAAAGTAAAGTAAAAGTAAAAACAGTAATTTGGATGAATTTTGAGCAGATTATTTCCTGAAAATATTGATGAAAGATTAGTTCTCTTGATATTTTTAGGAACTTTTAATGTTCTGCCTGTATTGTGTTTTATTTTATTTAAAAATCATATATAATAGACAAATTAAGTGTTTTCTTCTCATTGTTCTATCGGCTCTTTGGTTGTTTGAACTTTTCTGAAGCAGGTTGAGGCTGTTTATCAGAGAGAGAAAGCTCAGTGAATATATCTTGTGTTCAGGTCTTTAAATTTTAAATCTTAAATACAGGGATTTATTGTTCCACTCTCAAGGTTGATGGTTAAGGGGAGAGCTTTCATTAAAACGCTGCCCCTCCCTTAACAAATTTAAGTTCTTACAAGTCTCTGTTTTTACATATTTGTTATTGCCTTATATTTATATGTATATATTTATATATATAGTGTCTGTTATTGGCATTAATTGGCATTATGTGCACTTTAATTTGTACAGCACTGTTTTTAATCTGCTGTATAAATAAACCTGATTTAATTTTGATGATTTCATTATTTGTTTGTCATGTTAAGTTACAGGACGACTGTGTGTATTTTTTACTCCTTAAACCAGAAGCTCTGGCGACCTCCAGCGAGGGCCCGAGCCCCAGGTTGGGAACCCCTGCTTTACGGGACATTGACTCACCCTCTGGCTCCTTCACATATGATGACAGCCTGTCAGGGTTAATAACAGAGATACAGCACCTTCAGCACCTCCCCTCCCCCCCTCCTCCTCCTCCTCCTCCTCTGTGTTTGACTGTGAGGGAAATAAAACATAAACATCAGGCACACCCAAAACCTCAATTATACTTCCTCTTTTTTCTGTTCCTCTCCATCTTTAAGTGCTGGACACACAGAAAGTGAACTCTCTTTATACTTTATACTGCAGTTTGACTGTGTAGAATAACTAACATGTTCATATTTAAATTAAAGAGGTTTCATCGAAAGTGAAAGTAAATCTGTTGGAGGAAAGTTGAGGCTCGATGTTAAATTAAAGTTTATGTGGTTTCTATTCGATTAAAGTGTTACACATAAGAAGCACAATCTCTGGTTAAGCGACAACTTGTGTTTTCTTATGAGAAATATCCACTAATTTACTTTTATATATATATATTTAAATAAATAAATACTACGACAACTTATAAGTCCACAATTAGTTCATTCGCTTTTTGTTCTGAATGCAAACTTAAAGAAACCAACTGGAAGTAGTCACTGAGTTAGTTTAACTTACTTCATCGTTCAATCTCTTTTTAACTTCGGGACGTGACTTTGTTTTTATCGGGTCGGGTGAAACCGAAAGTGACGTCATATCCGCTCCAGATGAACTCCTCCACAATAAAATAACAAAATAAAATCCCCATTCTTGACGTTTTTTAAACTGGAGTGTTTATTGAATCTTCTGACAAATTAAAAAAAAAAAGAAATTAAATATAAATTTGCATATATGAGTTTTAATTTGTATCATTTTTGCTACATCCGGTATTTTTGTGCAATGTATTTCTCATAGTTTGTTTATCTTGAACAAAAAACACAACATTTTTAACTCATTAAACTTTGAGTTTCTTTTAAAATTTTCAAGTGTAATTTTCAAAGTAATTTCAAACATACAAAAGAACATTTCTTTCCATATTGCACAACATCATCAAATATATTCTGTATCTGCACTGTATGTGTCTGATTATATACATCAGGTTTCTCAGGAAAAAAGATATCACACTGATGATGAAGAGAAAACTCATGTATCAAATACGATACATTTTACACGTTACAGGGTTGAAATAACTAATAATAATATAAATATTATTAATAACTGAGCCTGAGGGAAGATCCCTTTTATCAAGAGGGCATGAGGGCAAAAAATAAAGATCCCCTCCTGACATTTATTAAGACTTATAAACAAATAATCAGCTTTGAACAATAATGTGTGTCTAATATGAAAAAAGAAGTATAATTTCCACATTACAATCTTTAAAAAATGCATCTTCTCCTTCTGCCCCTATTACATAATAAATATAAAAATGTAAAATTAAATTCTTACATTTTCCTGCTGGACACAAAGATGTCTCCTGCTTCACTGTAAAGTTCATTCTCAGTGTTTGAGGTTTCAAGTTTCTACATCACACTTCAAACTAGATCAGGATTCATCGTCTGCTTTAATATAAGCTGCCTGTAGCTGGACTTTGCCACCATATCTAAGAACCAGGATTAGGTTTATTGCCATGTTGTTGGTGCATAACAGTAAAAATGTGTTGTATTATAACAGAGTCGATCATAAATGTAAAATATGTATACGTACAATGAAAATCTTACTTTGCCCGACTACCTTTACACAATACACAAATAGAAGAATAAAGTTAAAATATAAAATATAACATATAACTTAAAGGGCCGAACAGTGTACAGTAAACAGAGAAACCTGAGTTGAAAGTTGCTTTATGGCTGCTGTATAACAGGTGGAGCTGATGATGTGAATCTTTTATCTAGTGGGAATTTACTACCATAATCCACAGATTTTCATTAAGTATAAATATTTATCTCATGATCGATTAAATATCAGCAAAAAATTAATCAGACTTCAGTTAAAGAATTGGTTGATAAATGAAACTTCCTTTGTTACTCAGAGGAAAGTTGATGTTCGGCTGTTTTTATTGGTGTTAATGGAGATTGAAAAACTGTAGGTGGAAATAAACTTTTGATGTGGTGCAATATCACCCTCATATGGCTCTTTAAAAGTATTACACACAAGCCACAAAATAAATGAAAGGAAAACAATTCCCATCCTCAACATCTTTTTAAACTCATGAGAAGTCTGTTTTACTCTTTTAAGTCACTATGAACAGCTTTGTTTTAAATATAACTGCACATTAATCAACTATAAATCTTACTGAATTACTAATTTGATAAATGTGAAACCGACTGCAGCCTGAAGTTCTGGTTCTATGATGATCCAATAAAACCATTACAGTGATACTGTGTTAAGTTGCTCTGTCAGTGTTTGTTCTATATATACTTATAAAAGTTTTTATTTTTTATTGTTCTCTCTTTGTAACGCCCCTGCTCCAGTTCAGTGTGGTGCTGCCTAGTGTGTCCATCATAAAGACAAAAGATAAATGCTTCAGGCTCAAAAATCA